GCTCCCCCAGTCCCACCCCCCGCCAGAGCAGGGGCACCTCCAGCAGTGGCACAGGACGGCGTCCAGGCGGGTTTGGGATGGCTCCAGAGGGGGAGACTCCCCCACCTCTCTGGGCAGCCTCTGCCACTGCTCTGCCGCCCTCACAGCAGAGAAGGCCCTCCTTGGGTTGAGGTGGAACCTCCTATGGTCAAGTTTGTGCCCATTACCTCTTGTTCCAGATGTCCCTCCAGCCCCCGCAGGGAAGGGACCGCTGGGGCTCCCGCCTGCTGAGAGATGCCTATGACCCAAACCAGCCCATCAGCTGCCAAAAATCCCCGTGAGCACAGGTTCCTTTACCACAATGCAGGAAAAGTTACCAGACTTTGTTGATTTTAGCACCACTGACCAGGAGAAATGTAGAGATTGTCGTGCTCAAATTGTTTTACGTAGGCATTTGATTTTATCATGGTGACTTTTTTCAAGACTCCAGAGCTTGGAGAGGTTGAAACTAAACATTTTCCCATAAGCCAAAAAAATTTTTTAACTTTTTTAGTTGGCAGAGATTTTGAGTCCCGATTTCATTTCGAGCTGATCTAAAAATAAAATTTTTAAATCTTTCTTTTTTTGTTGCCATCGAAGAAATCAGACCTCACCTGATGAGACGTGAGCTACTGTGGATTGCTGCTCACGACCCCCAGGTCACGGCCACGAAGCCCGCTTCCCCCACCGCCCCCCGCAGACGAAGGGGTCCATGCCGAAACCCTCCGGCAGCGCCTGGCACCCGGCATCGCTGCAGCGATCTCTCAGCACATGCCCCACTTTCCTCGGCGCTCTGCATCCGCAAATCGGGATGCGTGCCATTCCTCTCAGGCCCTTCCTACAGAATATTTATGGTGCATCCACATCCTGAAAGAATTTAAGGTTCAAAACAATTGATTAATTTGCTCTCCAGTTCTAGGGGGAAGGCAGATCCCTTACGGAAGGGCATCATGAATTCTAATTATTCAATGCAGGCAGAAAATGGCTCTTTTAGATTAAATGTTCTCCCCTCATCACTGCCCTGCTTCCTGTTCTCCCACACAAAATTAAACTCTGATTCTGTCATCTCTACGGCCTGGGGAGGGTAAAAGCATCTGCGATCTACTTAAACTCGGTCGCAGAAGCAAATTTCACCCCCAGCGCTGGCAGCCCTTGACTAAGGGCTGTCCCTAACAGAAAAAGCATCTCACAGCCTGACCGCCACGCAGGTACCGCCGTCCAGGAGCCCTCCGTCCACCCACGAAGGGCCACCACCACTCTTCCCTTCCTTGGCAGCATGGTGCCACCGTGGAACGGCCCGATGCCTCGTCTCCCAGCTCTGGGGCGGATTTCCCCCTTCCCATCTGCCCCACACCGACCACTCCCCACACCTCACTTTCCAATAGCTATTAAAAAAAAAAAAACAACAAAAAAGCATTGCCCTACAATTTATCTCAATATGTTGAAATATTACATTTTTCACTTTCTCAGAAGCCACTGTCACACCCACCATGGTAAAGATCATCGTCAAGGGCACCAAGCAACACAGCCACCATTTCAGACACCAGGGAAAGCAGCATCTCAGCTCCTCCATAAATCATGACAACATCACTCATGGTCTGCATCCCACTTCCAAATCAAAAGTTCTGGCATCTGCTGACAAATGTTTATGGCAGGGTGACCGCAGCCAGGCCTCGGGCAGGGGATGGGAGGTGGCATGGGGCTGCTGGCGAAGAACGAGGGCACAGCTGCAAGTGCTGCAACCCCACCTCATTCTCTTGATGGCATCTGATGTGCTCCTCCCCTCCCCCCCCTGCCCAAAAAAAAAGGAGTGGAGTATCTCCATCCTCCATGAGATCTTCCCCCACTATCGGCAAGTTTCAATTGCATTGGAACAATTTCTTTCGGAATTCACATTAATAACCCTGGCACAAAGAGAGGACAAGAAGCAGCCTCCACCCCAGCGTGTTCCTACCCAACATGAGCAAAGCAGCCAAGAGGAAATGAACATCTGCATCTTAGCAGTGGGCCACAGAGACATAGAGACCAATGTCCTTCAAGACATGCTTATTGCTAAGTAGTTTTCATTTGGGTTTTTTTAAGGGTATTGTAGATGCCTAAAGTTGGAGATGGGGCACAGGTGGCTGTGGGCAGAGCTGCCTCCCCCTCTGCCTCGCTGGGCTGGCGTTGTGCAGGACAGAGCAGCTCAGCTGCCAGCTCCAGCCTACGGAGAAGCATGACCAGAGCAGAGCCTAGCAGGATTTCCCAAGAACAACTGCTGCCAACACCGTGAGGCCACCACCTAAATGTTCAGGTACTGAAATACTTTGCTAAGTCTTGCCGGGAGTGGTCTCCCCATGGAGAGGCTGGTAGCCCCAGCAGTACTGGTACCTTCAGTGGTATCTGCTGGTCTGCAGCCGGCATGCATCCGTGATGGATGGAGCACAAGGCAGCTCTCATGCCCCTTCTAGTGCTCCTCTGGAGGACCCTGCCTTCTCCTGCCCTCCACCGCCTACTCCCAGCCACCTCGCTGACCTCCTCCACATCACTGGAGAGCATCTCCAAAGGGTCCACCAGCAAGCCAGCTTGGATCCATCACCCAGCCAGCAGCCAAAAGAGAAATGTTTTAGGGGAGGGGGTCTAGACAACCTGTGCAAGGTGGGGTTGCATTCACAACGCACACGATACACCCTGCTTGTGTTACTGAAGGCAGAATAGGTCCATGTTCTTCGAGTGGGATGTGGTGAGACTGGCAGTGTCCTTCACAGGACGGGAAGCATGTTCTTTCTACCATCACGGACAGGTCCCGATAAAGCTCTGTCTCCTCCACTAGGTGATCTTGCCCCAGATGCTTCCCACCACACCAGATGAGTGACGCTCCATCCCTTCACCTTCAGCAGCACCTGGGATACCCAAGGCCCAGGCTGCCAAGGCCAGCAGGTGAGGATTTGGAGCCTTCAGCTGGAGTCAAGATATTCTGGAGACGCAGGACAGCATCCAGCAGCCAGGTGTGATGCTGAGGAGCTGGGCTGCCACCACATGAGCGTGGCATGTCGCTGGTGCCATATGTACACCACTCTCTTGCAGCATCCTATTTCTAGGGGACTCGACTAGGGGACTGGAGCATCTTTCTTATGAGGAAAGGCTGAGGGAATTGGGTCTTTTTAGTCTGGAGAAAAGATGACTGAAGGGGGATCTTATCAACACTTACAAATACTTAAAGGGAGGGTGCCAGGGGGATGGGAACAGTCTTCTTCCAGTGGTGCCCAGTGACAGGGTGGGGGAGTCTCCCCCTCTGGAGCCATCCCAAACCCGCCTGGACGCCGTCCTGTGCCACTGCTGGAGGTGCCCCTGCTCTGGCGGGGGGTGGGATGGGGGAGCTCCAGAGGGACCTGCCCACCCCCACCAGTCTGGGATTCTATGATTCTACAAGCCAGATAGCAAAGTGCCACCATCCACCAGGACGACTGCAACTAAGCCAGAGATTGATTTGAATTACGTTGATGGAGACAGGATAAAAACAGTAATAAGACCAGACGTGGCGTTTGGACCAAAAATGCGAGTATGGAATTATCTGTGCTCCACAACCCTTGCCACAGCATCACACAGACACAGGCAAATAACCTTTCTTTGAAAAGCAAACGTGCAGAGCAGAAAAGACCTGAGCTCAAGATGACTGGAGAAGCCTCCATCCTGGAGATGCAG